ACGAAATAATTTTAACCTCTAGTGAGTTAAGGGAATGTTTGTTTGTCCGTTTGACGGTCCTTGCTCGAAACACCAGGCGTCGGGAAGAGAACAGGATATTAAAAACAAGCATATTTTAAAGTGATTTTTATAGCTTTTAGAATTTATTATATTATTATGGTAAATTAAACTTGTACTTAATATAATAAATCAGGTCACGATTGTTAGGAACTTCATATTGTAATGTACCCCAGATTTAACTGCAAATTAATCCAAACATTAGTACACCATACATCCCAAATTAGGCATAACCATCTGCGATTTCTCGTTTTATTTATTTTATGTTAATATCTAAAAAAAATCATGAATCAAAACAAGTAATTAAAGGGAAAAATAATAAAACCAAAGAAAGGAAAAAATGGATAACGAAGGGCTTAATAAGATCATGTAGAACTAAAACTTATTTATATAAGAAAGTGGAAGACAACCCTCAAGATAATCAATTAAAATCAAAGTATATTAAATACAAAAATATGCTAACTTTACTGCTATAAAACAAGCTAAAGAAAAATACTTTAATGAGATTGTGAGATATTTCAATTGTAATGTACATTTGATGTGGAAATTTATTAATTCCACACTGGATAGAAAGGATTCTAAAAAGAAATCAATGACAACCATTCTCCCAGAAAATGGAGAGTTGTCTCTACTAGGTGAATTGCCTATTGCTAATTACTTTAATAAATTTTTCGTCGAAATTGGGTCGAGTATCACTAAAGATTTTGATAATTTTGTCTTTGAAAAAAAATATTATGTTGAAATCAACCCCCTCGGAATCAATGTTTATTTTACCCACTAATGAAACTGAAATACTAAATATAATTAACAAAATGAATCATAAAAAATCCGCTGGTATCGATAAAATTTCTATTGCGGTAATAAAACACATATCTAAATTCATATCTCAACCCCTTGTATACATTGTAAATAAATGTTTTGAAAGTGAAATTGTTCCTGACCATTTCCAAAAAGCAGAAGTGTTTTTTTATTTATAAAATAAGTGATGAAAAGAAGGCTACAAATTATAGGCCTATATCATTGATATCCAATTTCACCAAGATATTTGAAAAGGTAGTTAAAGCAAGAGTGTTAAGTTTCATTAAAAAACATAAAATCATTAATAAATTTCAATTTGGCTTCCAGGAAGGCAAAAGTACGGAAGATGCGATTAAATTTATTACAGATGAAATAAACTATAGTATCGATGAAAACATTCCTTGTATGACTATTTTCTTAGATCTTGCTAAGGCATTTGATACTGTTAATCATGAGATATTGTTCAACAAATTATATAAAATGCAATTTAGAGGCACTTCTTACAATCTTTTTAAAAGCTATTTGACAAATAGAAAACAGGTGGTAAGAATAAATAACGTTATTAGTGAGGAACAAATTGTAACCTGCGGAGTTCCACAAGGTACTATATTGGGACCCATCCTTTTTTTATTATACATAAACAATATTTTTGGAATATTGACTCAAGGTGAATTGGTATCATTTGCAGATGATACAGCTGTAATAATTAGAGGCAAAACATTGCCTGAGGTTCTTGGGCGAGCCGAACAAAATATGAAATTGATAACTACATGGCTAAAAGATAATTATTTAACACTCAATATCCAAACAACCGTTTATGTAACTTATGGTAGTTATCAAGATAGCATTCCTGTCGATTGTTCGATAAAAATACATAAAATTTCATGCGCTACTAATTATTGTTGTTGTCCTGATATGAATAGAACATTGATTGCTAAGTATTTGGGGATCTATATTGATTGTAATTTTAAATGGAGGCATCAAATTCAACAAATTGCAAAAAAGGTTAGATACTTGATTTATATCTTTTTTAAGTTGAGAACTATACTCAATACTAAGCAATTGATGTTATATACTATGCATTGTTTTGATCCATAGCAACCTATGGTATTGTGGCATGGGATGGAGCCTACAATAATAATATGAAAGCGTTAATTGATATACAAACGATTTATAAATATCATTTATAATAAAAACTAACTATTTCCATCGGAAATAATATTTAGAGAAAATAAAATAATCAGCATGAAGAAATTTTATGTAGAAAAAGCGTTATTAACAAACTTTGAGTCTATGTATAATGATTATAAAACTATTACAGTGACAAAGAGGAACACAGATATCATTCAGAAAAAAATTCATAAAGAAATTAGTAGACGTCGGCATTATTATATTTGTTACAAAATATTCAACGCATTGAGTACAGAACTCAAAAATTGTGATGTTAATACACGAGGACAACGAAAGCGTATCAGATCCTGGACTATTGATTTGAATGATCCAGTAATTTAATCATTCTATCAACCCATGCAGTGACTAAGTAATAATGTCTGAATATGTCGCAAATTATATTATATTTTATATTATTTTTCATTTTTCTTTAATTTTGTTTTTTCTTCAAAAATTGATAAATGAAACAGGTAGACATACATGATACATGATTAGTCATTACAGGTTCGCGCACAAGACTGTCTTCTGCGAAATAATGTCAACATTATTTGTACTTGGTTACAACCTGTAAATAAATAAATAAATAAATTCAGCCCTCTGAAACATTTTAAAATCATCGGAGATCTTCTCCACTACGCTCCCCTTCCTAATGAAAACAATGTTACTTCACGTAGTTAACAAGCAAATGTCTGATATTTCTCCAACAAGTAAATGTCATATTTAGCAAGGGGATTGTTGCGAGTCACAGAAAAATTTGTTTCGGGAGTCAACAGATTTGTCCACACGGAATCGCGAGCATGAACGTTTATTTTCTTGTTCACTTAAGTTACTGTAATAATAAAAATAAAAACATATTCGTTTTCTGGAAAACGTAATTCCCGTCTCTTCCCGCTCTTACTGCCTATATTATTGTATACACGGCCGTGTTCCCATTTTTATTCCTGTTACCTAATCTTTATTTAAAAACAATCAAAATGACTTGATCTTCGTACATATCAATCAGTTTTAACTGATTTTTTACTAAGAAAATCTGAATCTAGACAATTTAAGAAGGCAACAATAGTTATATATAGGGAGAATTTACTTTAAAAAAATTACGAATGCAACAGTATCTTAAAACAACGCACTGTCCATCCAAACTACAAAATTTGGAATTGTAAATAGTATATACGTGCACTATCTATCTATAGATCGTTATTACAAACGACCTAGTTGCGGAACTTTCTTTACAATATATTTTAGAATACACAACGAAATGAAAAGTGTCTTTTGAGATATCATTCAGCACATGAACTATGCTACACATTAGCAATATTTACCCGGAAATTATTTGTAGTTACGATTATCAAGACCCTTTAGGTAATCAGTGTTTAAGGAAAAATTAGAGAGTACCCGCTGCTGGCAAATCATTTTTACGCTTTGCTTGCAACCACTCTGTTTTCAGACAAAAGATTGCATCATTTGAAAACACAGGATTACCCACAGATGATTTTGATGAACAGATTTAAGGCAAGAAATAAAAATAAAAAATACTGGACACTTCAATGCAATGGACACTTCATATTCAATGATTTCTATCATTAATAATTTAAAAAAGGATTACACCGGAAACAACGATAAATTATTCCTCCCGAAATAATGAGTAGCTCTGCTCACACAGGCAAAGAAAGTGCGGAAGTCGCGGGGGGGGGGG